TGAAGGCCTTTGTGGGATAATATGCACCCATCCTCGCCTCCGCCACCGTGCGTTTCAGCAGTTTGCTGCCCGACGCCATTGTGAGTCGCCGATTCCGACTTTTCTTCACCCAAAAAATTCTTTTTCTGGGGGATTCTACCTCTCTTTTTGAAGGATCTCAAAGGAGTTGCGGGCTGAGGTCCCGGGACCGGCGAATCTTTCCGACGGATGGCCACTTTTTTCGGCGGCCACAATAAGTGCGACGGTTACAATCTTTTGCAGTTGCTTCTCTCATTCGAGGGCAGACGGTTACAACTCACGGTGGATTCCAACCGTCCCAAGATAAGTATTTTTAATTTTTCCCTAATTCTTTTTTGTGTTCCGGTTTCATAATTACCGTTTGCTTTTTTTTTATTTCCCTTATCATAATTCCACGTATGTTTATTTTTGATTGAGTTTGCCACGTTCTAAACTTCTTTTCCTTGAGTTTTTTTATTTATCAAATCTCTTATCCATTTTATTTAGTTTCTATTGTGTTTTTGGTCCCATTTCCGTCGTTCTCTGATTATGGTTGGAAATTAAGGATGTGTTTATCCCTTGCTTGTGGTTGCATCCTGTTTTGTGCACTTTTTCACTTATTGTTCTCTATAACAAATTAATTGGCTTTCTCAAAGGAATGGTTGCATTTTCGGTAGGCATTCCAGGTACACTTCTCATTTGGGTTTTTAGACTCAGGTGTTGGTGGGAATGGCTTTCCTGTTTGGTACCTTTAGTGGCCGGTTGGATAATCCTCGACGAGGAAGCGTTTTGCTTGAGATTGTAAGAGCAAGGATTTTGACGCAGTTGTTCTCAATGTTTATAAATTTCTGCCTTTTGCGGCTATGTGTTTGCTCATTTTGCAGGTACAACGGCTAATAGGGCTGCCCATTTTATGGCATAACAGACCCTTTCATCGGAAGTTCGACTATTTGTCGACTACCGCACGGTGTTTTCTTTTGTTCTTTGACTCTGTATTGGCTAGGGATTTACCTGGCTCTGTCTATGTTAAAAAAAAAGAGCATAACGGCTTCCCCCATTCAGCCGCTTAATTTAGTTTGCTTCTTCATTACTTTTGACATCTCAACAATTAAACCACATCATCCATTCGGTGGCGGTGGTGACCCTGACAAACATGACAATTCCAAATCCCAGCATGGCTATGAGAGGAATTTCTAGAGGAAGCAGAGATAGAGATGGGGCAGGGCGTTTGATGCTAGCTTAGGTTTAGGTTTAATTAAAACTAGATTTGAACCCGGCTCGTTGGCCGGATACATTTTATCAATCGTATAAACAACAATAATAATTTTATTTTTATTTTATATCATAAGAGAATCCAAATATTAAATTATTGGAAAAAATTAAAAACATGAATCATAAATTGAAAATTTTTACGACATCCTAGCTAGTTGATTCATCAACTAACATCAATACTAAATTTAAAATAAATAATGCAAGGGAATCAACTCCTAAAAAACTTGTTCAGACCACATTTCGATTAGTAGTTACTCAGATTTTCTTTTGAACTACTCAATTGCTTTGTCATAATTAGCATTATCATCCCACCAATAACAACGCCTTCATCTTCATTAATAGCACCTCTATTTCCAAAATCAATATTGTACTATTATTCTCTTGCATTTAAATAATCTCTTCCTACTTCTCCTAAATTTCATTGAAGCTAAATTTAATGATAATCTTTTTACAAATACAAAACATATTTTTACGCAAATAGATATTTTCCTTTCAAGTAATGAATATTGTATGAGATTTGCTCTTTTGGCTAACTTTTTATTTCTATCTCCACAATTAATCGGTGTGGTTTAAATCCTGTCAGTCACATTCCTTTTTAGTTCGACCATTTCAAAGAAACATGCATGTACAGATAGAATTTTGTGGCCCTATATTTTATATGGTAAATGAAGGTCTAACAGAATATCTAATATTCGGCCTTGTGTTATTACGATCGAACAACCTAAGGTGAAGGTTGACCTATTTGATCCAGGCGTATTTTTTGTCCACTAATGGAAGATATCTATATTTTTTTTATAGAAATAGAAGAGATCTATTTAATGGACTACATATAATTTTTTATTAGAGTTGAGAGTAACTGAAGCCCTATCAAATTCCATTTGATTCGGATAATATTTTTATAATAAGTATTGGAAGAACTCCAAACTAAAAATAGAAACATGATTATCTGATAAATGTCAAACCCAATAATGAACTTATTACTTCTCCATCGGTGGAATAGAAAAGAATTAGGAGTAAAAGCAAAATAGAAAGGTAAAACCGTAAAAGGACGCTTGTGTCCTGCCGTGAGATGCGCTCAGGGCTCCAATTAGTGTTTTAAGTTTTAACCCCCTCCTCACGCAGAATCCCTTTAAATGAGTGTGTAGATGAGGAAGCCGAGTGGGGTGTTTTCAATCGGAAAAATGGGGGATTAATGGTTGGGTTATATATATATGTGGTTATGTTTTCGGTGCACTCATTTTTTTGAGTGCATTCAATGCACCCGTCTCATAATCGTCATTCTAAGCATGAGATTCATGTGAAAACTATGTCAATCATCACTTGTGGTATGATGAACAAGAACCACATGAATTTGTACAAAAATCATTCAAGATTCAATTTAATTTGAATGATCTAGAGTTTAGAAATTTAGGGTTAGAGTTAGGGTTTACATTTTGGGATTTTGGGTTGAGATTCAAAATTGAAGGTTAATAGGTTATGATAATGGACTCATTAGTTGTGATTTTGTGTTATATCATCATACTAGACTAATGCTACCCATTAAAGTTCAAAATTTGATGTATTATGACCACTTTTAGAATTGCAACCGAAGTAGCCACCATATATATATACACTAGAGGGCCGAGCAGCTCTTATAATAAACCAACCATTAATCCCCCATTTTCCCGAGTGAATATATATATATATATATATATATATATATATATATATATATATATATATATATAATTTGCAATTGCAACCCTTCGCACTTAACCGTTCACGTATTATGGTCGAACCAGAACTCAAAAGTCGGGGTGTTACATACACATTCGTTCAAAGACGCGTAGCATCTGGGGGCATGCCCTCTGCAAGCAGAGCAAGGCCTCCAACACCGGGAGTGCTACTCCAAGGCAGCGACGGAGGCAGAATTAGATATTTGATAAATATAATTAAAACTAATAATATCCAAATAATTCATTCATAGATAAAGAAATAACTGACTAATGCAAATGTTGTTTGCATAAATAACCACGACGAGTTTTTATATTCTGAAAGTTATCCAAAATTTTACTTGTTGTCTACACTCTTAAGTAAATATCTTTCAATTTATCCCACTAAACCATCATTAGCAAATTGATAGTCAATTCGACTTCAAAGTTTGTTCTTAATATAACTAAAACTAAAAATGTTCTTTCTACACTTACATTTGCAACGGGTAGAACCACAACTAGTTTTAGAAGCAAATAACTGATAAATATGAATGATGCACTTTTATCTCTGCTATTACACTAGATTATTCATCATGAACAAGTTGTTTTTTTTTTTTGATAATGGTGAAATATATTATTAGTTATCAAAACAAAGCAAAAGCATAGAGTTACAGCAAGGGAAAAAGGAACAGGAAAGGAGGACCCGCATCATGAACAAGTTGTTGTCGAATAATATTATCATGAATGGTACCAATAAATTATTTAGTTTTTTTTAATTAATGAACAAGTAAGTGTGATACTTTTCCTCCCCAGAAGTACCCCTGTCTTGTCATAAGGTCCAAGTGGCTCGGCTTCGCCTATGCTCTAAGGATTAAAGCTTTCATTGTGTGGATCGAAGGGCCAAGATCAGGTGACTAAGGGGGGTTCCCTTAGTCACATGATTAAGCCAATCTCAACCATTGAACCTCATTAAAATCTAATGATTCAGATTTATCTAGTTTAACGAAAAATAAGATGGTAATTATATTATTTATTTATTTATCAATTAAAGCAAAATAAAAAAACATCCATTTCCCTCGGGCCTCGGCTCTCCAGCCGCCGGTCCGTTTCTGGGAATTCTCCCGCTGGTAGTGGTGGTTTTTTTTGTGTGTCCCAAGTGATATTTGTGGCCTGCAGAGAGAGCTGGCGGTCGGATTTTTGTGTGTCCCAATCCAAGTGATATTTGTGGGAGAGAGATTTTTTGTCAACGGCAAATTTTCCGACTGTGGCGGTGAGAATTTCCGGCGATGGGGGATTTTCCGGCCAGAGGCCAGAGCATATGTTTTGTTATATTTTTGCGACGATTTTGTAATGTTTGTTAGTATGTTTTGTGATTTTGTATCAATTCGGTTTGTATTGTTTATCATTCTAGTTTGTCATTTTTATCTATTATGTTTGTAATGTTTATATGAGAAATTTGTATACATTCTAATTTGTAATGTTTGTTTGTCTAGTTTGTATACTTTGTATTCGTTGATTTGTAATACAACTTTACTATTTTGTATTGTAAGTAGTGGCATTTTGTACTGTTAGTATGTTTTGTATTGTTTGTCGGTCTAGTTTGTATTGTTTGTATAATTCGTATGTTTCGTATTGTTTGTATGTTTTGTTGCTCTAGTTTGTATTGTTCGTATGTTTGTACTGATTGTAGGTCCGGTTTGTATACTTCGTAATTTTCCAAAATACCCAAACTACCACTGTCATTAATTAAGTAGCCCTTCCCAACCTTTTAACCGTCAAATTGATGTGTCCAAATCTAAACACTGGAAAGGGCTTAGCTGGTGTGGAGGACAAGGTCCTCGGTTCGATCACGGGTCCGAATCCTGTGACTATTGGGTGGTGCTTAGTCTTTAAGATCAAACAATTCGATCGAATTGAGTATGATTGTATGTGTGATAACATCTACTATACCAGGAATATCAATGAACCCGATTATTGAAATTGCCCTAGTCACTCTTTAAGATCAAACAATTCGATCGAATTGAGTATGATTGTATGTGTGATAGCATCTACTATACTAGGAATATCAATGAACCCGATTATTGAAATTGTTCAAGATGACTAAGCACCACCCCATAGTCACAGAATCCGGACCCGTGATCGAACCGAGGACCTTGTCCTCCACACCAGCTAGGCTAGCCTTCTTTCGCAGGGACTGGGACGTTAGCCAAGCAGAAACGAGTTTTTATCTTGACCATTGACTTTTGACTCTCTCAAAACCCAACTGAAGGTGCACAGAACAAGAGAAGAAGGTCGGGACGTCAGACGAGGGAGTAATAAACAGAGAATCGTGGAAACAAATTTTTTAGTATATATAAATGCCGGCAGTTGTTCGTTGGCTCCTATATTTCAAAAACACGAATGCCTTCTCCGATTCGTGTACCAATAGCAATGCTCGCCACGTTCCGCGCGCAGACATCCTTGAAGCCTCACGGCGGCCTGTTCAGACTTCTCCTCTCGACAAATCCGCCGCGGCATTCTGTTCTGCTTTCTCCGTCGTGGGTTCCATCCATTCCGTCCGGTAAGCTCTCTTTCTTCCTTCCTTCCTTGGGTTCTTCCTCCCACCATTTTTGGCCATCTGGGTACTGTTCCATAGGTATCGTTGGAAGCTTAAATTTTTTACGATTTGATCAAGCCCGGAAGGGTTTTGTACCAATTCATCTGATAGTTTGAGAATAGGGTAGTTGGCTATTGTCCATTTCCGGTTTGAATGGGTGAAATTAGGGGTTAGTGGAAAGTTCTTCGTCTTATTACCATGTATAGCCTCTGCAACTACCGTCCAGCGGCCGGCCCCTTTCGTAATTATGACGGAAAACTAGTATTTCTTTTGTTGTTGACTTGGTGCATGACAATTGTTGATTTCTTGATACGAATTTCCCTCTCCAGATCCAATTTAGAGAATCCAGCTGGTCTCTCGGTTGTTCTTGAATTGGAAAAAGGAAGTTTCAAGGGGAAGCCTTTTTGATGAATGTTTGCGGAAAACTGAAGAAATAGGGTCTTTTGTTTTTAAGGTAGAACCAACACTACCACGACCAGCAGTGGCAAAGAGAGAGTTTATTCCTCAACAAGAGTACAGAACAAGAACATGTCTTCTTCTTCCGTAAAAAGTGTTGTGGTTCCAACAATGGCTAATGAGGATCGCCACGTTGATGGAGGAGTGAAGGAAGAGATCAAATTGTTAAATGCAACAGAGGATTGGTTTGGGGGAGTGACTGTGGTAGCGAGTGAGCATACGCAAGTTGCGGATTTCATGCCTCGACTGAGACATTCCATCTCCAAATGGAAGGAACAGGTAAAAGTGAAAACGGTTTAGGCTGCAATTCGATTTTTTCAGGTTTAGAGGCTTCAAGCTCTGCAGATTTTGATGGATGTTTTGGGTTTCTTTATAGGGAAGGAGAGGACTTTGGATGAAGTTGCCAATTAACCAGTCTCACCTAGTGGATCCAGTAGTTAAGGTGCTCAAAATCTTGAACGGGTTTAAGGTTCATTCTAGGATGGATTTTTGTTCTTAGGTTTATGATGAACTGGTGTCTGGGATTCCGTTGGTTACAGGAAGGGTTTAGGTTTCACCATGCTGAATCTGATTATGTGATGCTTGTGCGTTGGCTGCCTGAAGACGAACCTGATACTCTCCCAGTCAATGCCTCTCATCGAGTTGGTATTGGGGCACTTGTGCTTAACGAAAACAAAGAGGTAAATATCTTTGTTCTTTATTCAACAGTATTCACCTTCCTAAGATTTAGCTCTATGGAGGGGTTGAAATGTTCGAAGCCCATGGTCCGAAATGGCTTACAAACCCAAGTTTTAATCTCTTGTACCTGATCAGTTTGCCAATGGTCTGCTATGCCTGTGATGTTTGGCTTGCCAGGTATTGGTAGTCATGGAGAAGAATGGAGGTTTCAAAGGCACAGGGTACTGGAAGATGCCAACTGGTGTAGTTGATGAGGTAAGAGGCCTGGGGGAAAATGGTTTGTTTTCAAACCTCTTTTTGGCCTGCGGCAAAGTTCCATGATTTGGTCAAATGATGGCTGAAATATGTGTGTTAAAATCTACAGGGTGAAGACATCTATGCAGCTGCAGTAAGAGAAGTGAAAGAAGAAACGGGAGTAAGTAGATTGGAAAGGTGTTCTGCGCTTCTTTCCAATCACATGAAACTTGCTCTTGTGCTGATATATCTTCTCTGATCTTTTGTCCATCAGATTGACGCGGAATTTGTCGAAATTTTAGCATTCAGGCAAAGTCACAAGTCGTTCTTCAGCAAATCAGACTTGTTTTTTGTCTGTATGATGCGTCCACTTTCTTCAAACATCACTGCTCAGGAATCAGAGATTGCTGCATCTAAGGTGAGTGGTTCTTCCAACTTTGTCTAATATGCTTTGTTAACTGAGATCAAGCTACCATCTCAGGAGTTCCATAATATCTAAATGTCGCTAAAATATAAATCATATAAGAAACGATCACTTCCTCGCATCGCATTTCGTCTGATCCCGTGTTACCCAGTCAAGGCTTTATCTACCCACTCTATCCAATCCCTTTCAACTCAAAGCAACCCCGACTCCATACCTGAGATGTAGCCTATCCTTGATTTTGAAATGGTTGGGTTAGTGGGTGCCTAAACTGCTGAATTGGATAATGTGGTTTGTGATCTTAAGTCATCCAAACCAAGGACACATTAGACAGAGTGTGACCTGATTGTTTTGCCATACATCAATTCAATGAGTTACCTTTCTGCTACAATTTGTACCCCGCAAGGGTCTGATTAAGAACTCCATTTGACCGGCCGGCCTTTTGCAGTGGATGCCGATCGATGAGTATGTTGAACAACCTTACAATAAGAAGCATGGACAGTTCAGGTATGTTGCTGAGATCTGCAAAGCTAGAGCAGAGGGAACATATATTGGTTTCTCTGCGTTGCCAGTCTCATCAGCTTCTGGCAAGGATGTTTACCTCTACTACAACAAGCAGGACTGCAGCGGATGATTGTAGGCACGTCTCTAACTCTGGTCTCGCATCAAATTCATCTATTATATTTAGTGTCGGAACTTTGGCCTCCTCCCAATTATAACATTGTGGAGTAATCTATGTTGGCAGTTGAAGTATTCAATCTTTAAGCTCGCCTATCCCGTTTTAAAACATTTGTAACTTTTTTTTATGACTCGCCTGTATTCAAAAGGGTTAACAAATGTGTGCCTCTATTATTTTTTTTTATAAGGATGATATAATTTTTATTAACAAAAAAGGAAAGGGAAGAAACAACAGCGGTGCAACAGAAACACAAACAAAAACCAAAGAGGGAGAAAACAAATCCCACCCAGAAACTGAAACCCATCCAAAAAACCAGACAAGCCAAGACACAAAAGCAGGGTCGGAAAAAAGGATCCGCCACCTGCACCAGAATGTCAAAACCAAACCCAAGTAGCAAACACAGACACTAGCAGGACACCTGCCAAAAGAGAAGTCAAGCTGTCACGCTAGAAAGCTACAAGTCCGGGTTCGCAGGCGAAGAAGAGACAGCAAGGGGTTGTAATCTCGCTTTCATCTCGTTGATCCAAAGATCCGCAACTCCTTTATCGACCTTTTTGGCCGCCACCAACCACCAGTATATTGCATGGCCAATCTTCATCACAATCGAAAGTGTCCGGCCTTCCTCTTCTCTAAAGATTCTAGAGTTTCTTTCTAACCAAATATGCCAACAGAAAGCATGAAGGGCCACTTTCGAACACCATTCTGCGGGATTTGTAGGTTTGGTGTATTGCCAAAGTTTGATTTTCTCCGCAATGTCACCAACTTCTTCACCTCTTTCCTCCGTCTTCACGAAGCATTTCAGAGTGCTCCAGACCCGCCTTGAGAAGACGCAGCTGATGAAGATATGATTTGGGGACTCCTCTTCATTCTTGCAGAGCACACATCTGTTTGGAAGGCAGAGTCCTTTTCTCTTCAGGTTGTCAATAGTGAGTATCCTTTTGTGGAAAACTAGCCAAAGGAATATACAAATCTTGCTTGGGATGATACTTTGCCAGACCACCTTCGAAGGGAAATTCTCAGCTCCCGCGAAACGAGCAGCAGCAAAAATCTCAAAAGCAGAATGAACACTGAACCCGGCAGCAGGTGACGGGAGCCAGATGGGTCTTTCGGGACCTGCAAAAAATTTCTGCCAAGGGATAGAGTCAAGTAAGTTAAACAATCTCACACGCTCTCTTTCAGCCCCACCCCGAAGTGAATAAATAAGAGGAATGTTCCAAGTACAGTTCTCCTCGGAAAGAGATAAGTAATCGGCAATGGTGGAGTTCGGAGAATTAGTCGCGGCCAGCACTCTCGGAAATTCATCAGCCAAGCGAACCCCATTCACCCAAGTATCAAACCAGAACGAAGTCCAAAATCCATTACCATGCTCAATACTGGTCAGTTTCCAGAAAGCCGACTGGAGTTTCATGATGTTGGCCCAAGGGCTCCCACCTGTCCTTCCCGGCAGACTGCCCGGCGTCCACTATGAATAATAATTTGGAAATTTAATGTCAATAATTTCTCTCCACCAAACACTTCTTTCAGATGCGAATCTCCAATGCCACTTGACTAGAAGAGCTTGATTGTGCAACTCAAGATCACGGATACCCAGGCCCCCTCTACGTTTGGCAGTTTTACAGAGATTCCATGACACGAGATGAAGTCTTTCCTTATCTTGAGTACCAGACCACAGGAAGTCACGTTGTATCTTCTCCAGAGAATTAATGACGCTTTTAGGCATTAAGAACAGTGAACTCATGAAGGTGCATTGACTAGCAAGCACTGCGTTAATGAGCACAACTCTGCCCCCCAGAGATAGAAACTTTCCTTTCCATCCTTCCAATCTGATCTGAGTTCTTCTTACGACGTTATTCCAGTGCGAGGTAGGAGGAGACTGGCAACCGAGGGGAATTTCGAGATAGATTGTTGGTAGGAAAGCCCAGTCGCACCCAAAAATTTCAACCAGCCTATCGATGTTCAAGACTTCACCAACAGGGAAAATATTTGTTTTCTCAAGATTAATCTGAAGACCGATAATTGCCTGGAAACACACAAGCGCAGCCAACATGTTACACACCTCGGATTCATTAGCTTCGCAAAAGAGGATAGCATCATCGGCGTAGAGCAAGTGTGTGACTTCGCCACGACGCCGCTCTTCATCAATACATAAACCGGTAATGTGCCCAGCATTCTTTATTTCGCAGAGGATGAAAAAAAGGATGTCCATGCCAAGGTTAAAGAGAAAAGGCGAGAGTGGATCACCTTGCTTGACCCCGCGGCTCATTCCAAAGAAGCCAACAGATTCCCCGTTAATTAGCATCGAAAGTCTCGACGAAGAAACCATACCTTTAATCCATTTTCGAAACCTGGCATGTAATCCAAGATGAGTCAGGGCTTTATAAATGCATTCCCAGCTGATGGAGTCAAACGCTTTCTCAATGTCCAGCTTTATTACTAATCTGGGCTTCCCACTTCCCACTTCTTCTTCTACTATGTGCCTCTATTATTTATTTGCACTTTTATACCCTTTAACTATCAAAGTGTAAAAAATATACTCTTCTGTTACTATTATCTTCAAATGTCTGTTAGTAAGGTCAGCAAATAATTATACTACCGGAGTAAGATCTGTTTGGGTCTTTTAGTCACTTGACTAAGTCAATCTTAGTCCTCCAATTTTATTAAAATCTAATGGTTATAATTAATTCAGTTTAATGAAGGGCAATGTAGTAATTGCATAATTAAATTTTAATTTTCGATTATAAAGTGAATAAAAAATCTCTGGCGTTCCGTCCACCTCCCTTTTGCCGGCCATGAAAATTTACGTCCTTGCCGCCAACCATGGAAATTGCCGACTCCCTTCCACCGGCCATGGAAATTCCCGGCGCGTTTCCGTCCTGGCAAATGTTTTGGCCTTTTCTGGGAACATTTGTAATTCATATATATGGGGAGTTCTACGGTGCACAAGGTGAAATCCTCCCGAGTACCGCATACATTGAGTAAGAAAACGCTATCCAGAACTTGAATTGACTGATCTTTCGGACATGATACTATACTCTAACCCTTAAAGATCAAAATCTAGGTCTTAATTCTCTATATCTTATACCCCAAGATCAATTTAATTAGAAACAATAATCGACGGTTATGATTCGTTCAAATATAGGCAAAAAAATCAATGCATCATCTTAGGATTTATAGTTTATGATTTAGATTATTAGGACCTAGGGTTCACTCATTAAGGATTAGTGTATAGAATCATGCCCAAAGATCCTGCTAATTCGAGGTCTAAATAGCGGTTTCATACTCAAGGTATGCGGTACCTCGAATTTCACCCGGGGTACCGTAGAAGGCACCATATATATATGGCAAAGGCTAGCGTACACCTGCCGTACAGTGTACATCTGCGTTCACACTTATTAATTAATTAATAATTATTTTTAATTAAGTTAATTATTATTCATAAATATAATTACAATTATATACATTCATGAATTGTTGTTTACGTTTTAGTCACATATCAATTTAATATGAGGGGGGAATTCAGATTGCAAGTATTTTGGGGCTTTCAATTTGTGGTTTTGTGATACGCACGAAGAATGAACTTCAACTATGTACTTCCAGTTGGACTCAACGCCGACAAGGAAGAATCAACCCAGCCGGCAGTGAGAAGGAAAGAATAACGCCGATGGTGACAAGAAAGAATCAATGTCGGCGAGTCCAAAAATCTGTCTTTCATTTTAGGGGAACAATAGAAGGAGCTTACGGCGGCGACTCCAGCTCCGATCAAGAGCAGCGCATTTTGAATTCGGGCAGCTGCCACCAAAGTCGAAACTCTGCGTTGGATTCGATCCAAGATCATCAACTGATAGCAAGAATCCAATGGTGTCGGGGACCCGATGATGATATCATCGAGCTCCGCTCTTCCTCTGCAGATCTCTTTCCCGGCGCAATCCTTCCCCTACAGATCTCCGACTCGAAATCCTCTTTTAATGGCCGCCGGCCTCTCTAACCCCCCCCCCCCCCCCCCCCCCCGCGAAGATTGAATTTGTCTATGAGGGGAAGGAGAATTTAGGCCGATGCATGTTCGATTTCTGGGTTTTTGGGAATAGGGGCAAAGTTCGTGCAACGACGTTGATACCCGGAAATTTCTGAAATAATAATAATATGTATTGGGACACTTGAAGCACGCAAAAGACAATGGTGCTGAATTGTGATGGGAGATGAGAGAAAGGAATCGAGAAAGTCACGGTCCAAGTACGGGTTGAGGGATGGAGACAAAATTGAAGTCTCTCACTTTTGAGTTCTGACGAAGAAGATGATACATGGAAAGAGGTTGGGGTGACTAAATCGTATAAAAATTAAATTAATAGGTGTGGTTGTAATTGTATTTTTGATCAATTATTGATTTACTTATAATTAATTTAAAATATTAACAAGTGTGAACACAGACGTACAACGTACACATGGTGTACGCTAGCCTGAACCATATATATATGGTTAGTTGGTTACGTCTTCGGTGCAATCACTTTTTTGGGTGCATTCAATGCACTCACTTCATAATTGACATTCTGAGCAGACGATTCATGTCTAGACAATGTTAATCGTCACGTATGATACGACGAACAAGAAACCCCATGAATTGACACAAAAATTATTCCGAATTTACATTAATTTGATGGAATTATGGTTTATGGATTTAGAGTTAGGGTTAGGGTTCATGATTTGAGGTTTAGGACAAAAGTTCAAAATTGAAGGTTTAGGGCTTAGGGTAATGCATTGATTAGTTGTGATCTCATGTTATATCATCATATTACACTAATCTTGCCAATCAAAATAAAAAAATCGATGTCTTAAGGCTACTTTTAGAGTTGGGTGCATTGAATGCACTCATTTTTGTGAGTGCACCGAAGTAGCCACTATATATATATAGATAGATAGATAGATAGATAGAGAGAGAGAGAGAGAGAGAGAGAGAGAGAGAGAGACTTTCCGTCGACCAGCAACGACGGAGAAGGATTTCCCGGCGACAGTGCTGGATTTGTGATGTTTGTTGACATATTTTTATAATTTTTGTAAGTATGATTTGTAATGTTTGTATCGATTCAGTTTGTATTGTTTATCATTCTTGTTTGTCATTTTTGGTGACATTTTGTACGTTTAGTATGTTTTGTACTGTTTGCCGATTTATTTTGTAATGTTTGTAC